GAAAACCTTTTTGCATACACCTTGCACTTACCAAACAATTCCTTGCACACTTTATTCAAGGTAATTAGTGACCGAGGAATAAAATTATCACTAAATAACAAAAAGTTGCAGCTAACGATCAACTACTACTTTCCCTGCTTGCGCCTGAAAGCAATTTCACCATTTTCTTTATGCAATTATTTATTTCTTTTCTTTTGATTTTGTGAGATTCGACTATTCGTTTCTGAAATGAGGGTATTGGAGGGTATGGATAAACACTACCTCTATTTCAATCCATAAAAATTTGTATCAAAATTCCTAATCATTTTTTGCATTACAGAAGTACTAGGGTAAAAGTTGTTTGGATCCAAACATGGACATTGACGATAGTGTAAAATAATGTAAATCACCTTTAAATTCATGAAAAACTTTAAATTCATGAACGGATTTATTAACTGATTGTTTAAAAAACGATGAGCAAGTCATTGAATCATTCATTCAACCGAATTATTAAAATGCTTCACTCTAATTAACCATTGTTTGTATTTAAACACTTTAAACTTTGACACATCAGTACCTACTGTACATTCTCCTAGTGGTATGTAATGTCTAATTTGTTTATAAGTATGTCGGGGGGACTAACTTCAAATCTTACAAATCATACAATAAATATTTTATGTAAAATAGTGCTTCTTTATAAAACGAGTGCCTTGCACACTATTTCATCTGATAGTTCATAATAATTTTTTTTTTATTTATGCTGTCGAATCTTTAAAGGGGTCATATGATGTTGCTAAAAAGAACATTATTTTGTGTATTTGCTGTAATGAAATGTGTTTATGTGGTTTAAGGTTAAAAAAACACATTATTTTCCACATACTGTACATAATTGTTTCTCCTCTATGCGCCGCCTTTCTGAAACGCATCGATTTTTACAAAGCTCATCGGTCTGAAAAGTGAGGTGTGCTGTGATTGGCCAGCTATCCAATGCATTGTGATTGGCCGAATACCTCAAGCGCGTGACGGAAATGTTACGCCCCTCACCATACTGTGATGCTGTGTCCGGCCGGAGCGACGAGACAAAAACATGAAAACCCATTATAAACGAGGCATTTGTTGCATCCAGTGGGGACATAATTATGGATTATAATGACTTATACTGTCTTTTTACACGTTGCGCTGCATCGCGCCGCGTAAACATAAAACCATGTCTGCATTTGTGATCGGAGAAATGACAAACAACAAGCGCTACTCTACACTGCCCAAAAAATTCGCTTTAAATATATAAAATCTCTTTAAATATGAAAAACGTACTTACAGTCTGTGAGTCAGAACAGCCGGCATTGTAGTCTACTCTCCCAGGATCAGGAAACAGTCCTCCATAAAATGTGCTGCACACATCTGAATATTTGGGTTGAAGTGTTCTGGAACAGTGTTGTAAATACAACTTAACCACTGATTTCTAGTCGTGTCCATTTTTGGAAGACCAAACAAAGTAGTTTCGCTTTCACAACGAAACACACAGCGTCAGACACGGCGGCCTATAGTGAGCAGAGGCCGGGAGATAAAGTGAGGAACGGCCGGAGGGCTAGAGTGAGCAGAGGTGGCGGATTCGACGAAGGAGGCTTGCGGCAACCACATGTGACGACCCCGCGCTGGACTCCGCTTCGTCCACGGTGAAAGCCGATCCGGCGATTCACAGCGCAAAGTTGATGTATTTCCTCAGCGACCAGCACGGATCAGCTCCAGGCATGATGAAGCAGATATCTTCCTCTTTTGGAAGACCAAACAAAGTAGTTTCGCTTTCACAACGAAACACACAGCGTCTTCACAACATGGCGGCGGCGGCAACAACAATACTACAGCGAGAATAAAAGTTACGCCTTCTTTCTTTGTGTGAACATTTGGGCGGCATTACGCAAATCTTCCCACATAGTGAGGTAGACATGTGGGGGCGTGTTAGAAAGAGCCATTTTAGGGGGGCGTGGCAGACTTAACTTTTATAAAGAATATCTCTTTGGATTTGAGACTTTAGTCTTTGCAACTTTACAGATCTTCTTTATGCACCAAGAGCTTGTAACACTCCAAAGAGAAAGGAAAAATTGAAGTCGCATCATATGACCCCTTTAAGGAGACCCTAAAGAGAAAAAACGGCGCTTACCGTATCCAGTCGTGTTATAAACGTAGGCTTCGGGAAACGCTGCTTAAACCCAATGAATCCCACATGACATGTTTTATAACTTACCATCGATTTCAGAGTGCTGTATCCCCAAAAGAACATATTCAAAATGACCTCAGGGTCAAGGAATGAATTAATGATGCGAGCTACATCAAGAATTAAGGGATTTCATATCCTCAGCTCTAACGCGACTGTGATTCATTTCGAAACACAATTTGAATGACCAATCAAAAAATGGCGCAGAGGCGAACGCGCCATCCAATAGGATCATAGTTGCCACGTCATTGAAATAAAACGTATAAACTAATGTGCATATAAACGTATAAACAAATGTGCATATACTGAAATATTGCCAGTTGTTAATCCATAAGGGTTAGAGTTTAATCAGATCTAGCACTCTGTCCTTTTAAATTTTCTTTTTATGTTCTCCTTTGGCCAATTCACAGTGCTCTCTCTGTATTTAATATAATAGATAAATTGCACCCCATATTGCTTTTATAACATTTTGGCAGTCGTATCAATATTATTGAAATGAGAGTTAGTGAGACAGAGTCTTAGGAGAGCTGGCCTACTTCTGCGTTTCAGCTGACGGTGTGCATGCCAATGCATCTGTGCTTCCTCCAATCAAACCCTCGGCTCATTTCACTACACAAGACCGGACATGGATCAGAAAAGGACAGCTGGCAAAATAAGGAATGGGTGGATTCAAAGATGAAAGAGGCAATAAAGAAGTAAAGATTAGATCAAACATAGAGCAAATAATGACTTTGGTTCTGTCAGGACCACTATCGTCAAAATGATAGATACTTAGCATAAAGTTTGGTTTGGCGATATGGTTCTGTTCTGGGCAAAAAACTCCCTGCCCATCCATGCAGCCTGTCATGAATGAGCAGGGAGAGCAGCAATAATAACCCCCCCAGGGTTAACAGAACAGAACAAGGCAGATATCATTAATATACTTTAAGTGTAATATTTAAGTGTAATACTTTATTCAAGATAAAGGAGTCTGATTAGCAAGGAATATCAGAAAGCCAGGTCCTGACTGTGGTGAAAGGAGGAGCTGGGGATGGAGGAGGGTAATTTGCTCCGGAGCAAGCTGAAAAGCTGCTGAATAATACTGAATAGAGCTTATATAGGAATGCCGCGATAGGTGTCGTATTCCTATAGGTAGATGTGATCAGCTGAGAATCAGCTGATGCAAGCTTGACTCACGTGACCTGCCAGAACTAACGCTAACGCTTAATTTTTGGTTTCTTGGACACGTCACCCATCTGGATTTAGTTGGATAAACAATTTCCTTCAATCTCATGCCATTGGTGTATGCCAAAGTCAGGCCACTAGGAATATGTTTACATTACACAAAGAATAGGTCACAGTTGCTTCTGCATATAAAGCTAGAATATAAGCATTTTAACATCAACTTTAAAATTAATCTAGACTAGCCTAAAATTAATCAAGATACACATTCATTTTTATGCATACATATTTGTTTTGTACCCATCCAAACAAATGGGAAAAACTTAATTGCTTTTATAATGCATCATCATTTTAATATACAAAATGAACATGAAATGCATGACAGTTGGTAAATCTAAAATTACGTAATGATAACAGCACATTGCACTTTCAGTGCTCTGTTGGCTCATGTACTGAGGCAATCTTTGTTCAGAGCTGTCAGAATCATTACAGTTCATCAGTGCAGTTTCCTTTAGATCTGCATTATCTCCTAAAGCACCATACAGGGTTAAAAACGTCTTGTTCACCACAGAAGTGCAAGGATAATACTAACACGAGGATTTTCCTGACAATGATGAAAACTGTGTGCAGTGAACATGAAACGTGCATACAGATGCTACTTCAGTAGATGAAGCTTACTTGCATGACTACACTATGAAATGCATCATGCATAAAACATTTCAAACAATGTGCATTACTTATTAAAGGGGTTTCTACCTGTTTCTCTCTTCGCTGCTATTTTAAGGCACCTCGTACAGTTACAGTCAATAACCATATTGATTTTATGTTTAAATTCATGAAAGATATGACTAAATGGTTTCCTGTTGTGAGAGAGAGATGACTCTCTCAAGCAAGTACGGTCAGGATTTGTGTAATTCTTTAAAACGGATTTAAATATGGTAAAAATGTAGCAACATATAATTTTAAATAATTGCGATCAGACAGATAAACACCAGATAATCCAGACTGCCTGAAGATGTTTATTCTCAACTCCACCATGAGGATATTCAGAAATACAGCTCATGATGGGAAAGCTTTTATTACAGTCATTTAAAACATTATGCAATGCCTCACAAAACCCAAAGAGACCAATCTGAATACACTCCCTGCTGCTCTACTGGCTGAGACGACTGATGTGAGGAAACCATGTTGTTGTGCTTGCTGCAGTTAAACAGCATGGCGATGTCTGGTGGAATCTATTTGTATGATAAAGTCAAGAATAATTTTTTTTTCTCATTTCAAAAGGAAACAGGCTATCCTTAATTTTCAGTTTCTTCAGCTTCATATGAGAATGGAGATAGATTGGTTTTAAAATAAAAGCTACAATATTGTAGCCTAAAACAATGGCTACAGTATTGTCAACATTAACTAATAGCTAACACGGACAAGGTGACATAGCAGAAAAAAAAGTTTCAGGCAGAGCAACGTATTGCATTTTGATGAATACATATTATATAAAACAACATTTTACCAGCATATGGTAAAATTGCAGTTTTGTGAAGCTCCTGAAGTAATTGTAGTAAATGTGCCATGTTGTTGTGCTTGCTGCAGTTAAACAGCATGGCGATGTCTGGTGGAATCTATTTGTATGATAAAGTCAAGAATATTTTTTTTTCTCATTTCAAAAGGAAACAGGCTATCCTTCATTTTCAGTTTCTTCAGCTTCATATGAGAATGGAGTTAGATTGGTTTAAAAAAAAAAAAGCTACAATATTGTAGCCTAAAACAATGGCTACAGTATTGTCAACATTAACTAATAGCTAACACGGACAAGGTGACATAGCAGAAAAAAAAGTTTCAGGCAGAGCAACGTATTGCATTTTGATGAATACATATTATATAAAACAACATTTTACCAGCATATGATAAAATTGCAGTTTTGTGAAGCTCCTGAAGTAATTGTAGTAAATGTCATGGTCATAATTCACCTAAAAATCAAAACAGGCTTAATTGTCTTTATGCAAAATATAATTTAGATTTTTGATTTATGGGTGAAATATGAGCATATTTTCTAGAGATTGGTGTGTACACAGTCGTTGTTATTTACTACAAGTAGAAGAGAAGAGGATGATAAAGAGACAATGATGAAAAAGAGTGATGTAAAAATGAGATGGGAATGCAATAGGGCATTTCCTCCTCTCCTACCTGCAGTTTACAAAGAATAGAAGTATCAAGACATTAATGTGGAACATTTGCGTTCATGCTGAAGAAAACAAACTCAAAGTACCACAGTGATCTGCCTGTGTGTGTGTTGTAGTGTTTAGAGTTTCTTTGTGCTGCTGGCAGTCACTGCGCTGCCTGTGTTGACAGGGATGTTGATTTCAGAGCCCTGGATGGCAGGTTTGGGCAGATGAGCTTCAATGGTCAGCACACCCTCAGGAGACAGAGAGGAGGTGATCTTCTCAGAGTCGACACCAGAGGGCAGACTGCAACACAAGACAATCACCTTGCATTCAGGAAATCACAGCTCATCACAAAAGGTCATCTTTAGACAGGCCTCACATCAAGTTTTAAATCGATTTGACTTATCAAGAGAATATTTGTACTATATATTTCTTTAGGTCAAAAACTACTACACTAAAATAAAACAAAAACTATTGGAGTATGTTTTACAAGAAAATACTATTCCAGTTTTTCCATTTTCTTTGTTGTAATTGTAAAATTTACTAGAAATTTCTGAGTGAAATATGTTTCTAAACCTAATTTTGTCATTAAAGTATCTGCCATCACATGCAATGAATGCAAACAATGCAATTATTTATATATATATATATATATATATATATACATATACATATACACACACACACACACACACACACACAGTAGGTTGTCCTAAGACAAGAACGCATTTTAGTTTGAGGTTTTAGGACAACTTTGATGAAAGGTTTTGATCCACTTCAAATGTTGACTACTGTGTGTGTGTATATATATATATACACTATTTCAGTTTTATTTCAGTTATATATAAATACTATTTCAGTCTTTCTACTCCAAAATTTCTTGTCTAATTCAATGTCTAATTCTGAGTGAAAATTGATTCTATGCCAATTTTAGTGCACTTTTTCATTGAAGTATCTGCCATCCACTCACACAAATTTTGCAGTCAATGCAATAAAATAAATAAATAAAAATGCAATTCCAAGCCATTGAAACTCAAGAGAAATGAACACAAAACATGAGCACAGGTCCGCACAGAGTTTCAGCTCTTTCAAAAACAGATGTGAAATATTATGCAATGTGATGCATGAATCACTGTCAAGAGTCATTATCTCAAACATGTCCCACCCTCTTAGTGTTCCCGGGACAATGTGACTCTTGATCCTCCCTATCAAGTGTGCAGTACTTACGTGTATTTCCTGGTGAAACATCTGGACACAAAGCCATGTTCATCCTTCCGCTCCTCGTGTTTGCCTGCATGCAGATCAGACGAGAACAGACACATGGAAAAGAAAAAACACATGAAATATCTCTCCGATTCTTCAAAACAGCAAAGACTTCATTAAAAGGAGAGCAAATGGACATTTCTCATCAAAATCTCCTGGGATCAAATGATCTAAGCTGCTATCCACATACCCATGCTGTATATCAGCTTTCTCAGTTGTGTCTGTTTTTATAAGAAACCACTATAAGATCTCATTAGCAACTGGATAGCAACATCCTGGCAACCGATCACCATTCGCATTATTCAGAAAATGTACAAATCTGATTATATTTGCAAATCTGATTAGTGTTACGTTTCTGATGTAGTGTTGATTGAGACAATCAGGAGTGTTTAACCACATGTTGACTGAGCTTTGCCTATAATGTGTCATGTTTCCTCAGTTTGGTGACGAGTGTCTGCTCCTTCTCTTAACCACTTCTTGAATGTGTAACACAACATTGTGTGTTTGACCTCGCTGTCCTTTGAATGTTCCTCAAAGCCCTAAACTCTGGCTGACACCCAGCCGGGTAACCCAGCACCAGCTCTGTTTGTTTAGACAACACGACTGAGACCTCAGAGGACCCTCGCCATCTGACAGACGGCCACAGAGACGGATGAGATGTGAGAGTCATTAAGAGAGTATTACTTCACAAGCTCACCATTTCACTTCTGAAATCTGATGCATTTCCAAATGAAATAAAAGTAAAAATGTTAGACAGCAAAAATATGATGTTACATACAAAATGTTTGTACTTGAATGGCACAAAGATGGGAACTTAAGTCTCGAGCTCTGGCCTCTGCATTCTGCACATGCTGTTTTAACTGCATTGTGCTCTGGTTATGTAATATCTCAGGAATTTGACAGGAAAATCAGCTCCCACCCTACAGAAGATAAAAGTTCTCCCAGCAGCAGCCCTTTGTTTACCTCACACTCGACCACCTCTCTTCCTTAGGGAAGCCCATTTCTTCCACAAAAAGAAAGAAAACCATGCTTTGGCACATCATAGTTATGAGATAAAAAGTCACAATTATGACAAATTATTAGATCATTATGAGACACTAAGTAAATTCAAAAAAAGTCAAAATGACCACAAGCCGTAATGAGCCGAGGCAAAAAGTTGCAATTATGAGATTAAGTTAAAATATGATTCAAAATCATGATTCTAAAAGTTGAAATTATGACCTACTAAGTCATAATTATGAGGTAAAACTCAATTATGACTAACTATATTATAGAAATTATATTTTCTAATTAAAGTTGAGATAAAAAGTCATAATTGACAAAAAAGTCATAACTATGAGATAAAAAAAATCAATGATAACAAAAGTCAATGTGATGATAAGTCACAATTATGACAGTCAAAATTATGATACTAAGTCATAATTATGTGATAAAAACTCAATGATGACAAAATGATATGATACAAAGTCATAATTTTGAAAGTTGAAATTATGACATTAAAAAGTCAAAATTATGAGATATTAAATCATGAAAAAAAATTACATAAAAAGTTACAATTATGAAAGGTCATCATTATGACAGTCGCATTTTGTAGTTTTGACTTTTTGTCATTGATTTTATCATAATAATTTAGATTTTTTTTTATATCTCATATAAATTTTTATGTCAGAACCATGATTTATCAACAGAGTTTTGTTTTTCTTAGGTAGCAGAAATGGGCTTCTATATTTCCTGGACATTTCCCTTCCAAAACAACTAAACAAATCAGCTCCAAGTTCCTTCCTGAAAGTGAAATATGAACTTTTATAGTAGTTTTTACATGTTATAGCATCAGCACACACAAAAGTTTGCATTGTTATTCATTGAATCAAGAAGGTCTTTTCCCTTCACTGAGTTCACTTTTCTGCATCACGTTTAAAGACTCATTGTGTTTGAATCAGCTGGTGTTTTGGTGATTTTTAGTGGATGTTCAATACAGATCAGTTCCCGCAGGTGTAAAGAATCACATTAACTAGCAACATCATCCACTAAATAATCACAACACTGGCATCTATTGTTTTAGCATGTGAAAGCTTAGATTTGTGAAATGCGTGATTCTTTACAATAAACAACACTTGATTTTATACTCTGGAATCTAATGCAATGACATTCAGACATTTTTAAGAGTGACTTTATGAGACGCTCTTCTTGGGCTAAATGGTGAAATTATGAAGCAAAGTGCTCACCGGTGATCTCCACCACCCCATCTTTGGTCTTCACCGTCAGCTCCTCTGGGGCGAAGTGATTGACATCCAGGCTGATCTTCCAGGAATCTGGCGTCTGCTTTATCTCAGACATTCCCGAGCTCATCTGTCGGGACAGGGCCCGCCTGTAGTTCGAGGGGTGCATCACGGAGGCGGAGGGCGACATGGGCATCTGAGCCACTGGGCTCTGCATTAAAGAGGCCATTTCTGGAAATCCATAGGGCCGGATGTATCCGGGCCAGTGTGTGCTGGGAAATGTGGGCATCTCCTCGGAGAAGCGTGGCATCCCAAAGGTCTGATCGAAGATCCGGCTGCCCTGGGACCAGTCGCGGAAAGGGTCCCAGGATGGGCCGTGCATAAAGGTGAAGGGGATGCATCTCTCGGCCATGGCTGAAGTTTGTTCCTGCTCTGAAAGTTTTCTGGAAAGTGCTGTGTCCTGTTTGGGAGTGCTGAGATTTATAAGAACGTTCTCAGCCGACACTCCCCTTTCCACACTAATGCAACCTCCTCCTCCCATCCAGATATTTATAGAAGGGACTAGAATCTCTATTCACGGACGGCCTAGCATGAGAATGGAATCCAAGGCAAAGGCCTTCCCAAAGTCGGCACCATTCCTTTCCTGGATGGTTGAGCCTCTCTCACAAACACATTCTCGTGTCGTGACACAGGAGCGGAGGAATCTAGAGGTCAGAGCAAGTCAGCACAAACCAAGCCTTCTGATAACACAAAGATACAACAGGTGACCAAACACACATGCGCTATGAATCTGCAAACACACAGAACACAAAACAGACAGAGAAATTCAAATACAAACAGGGTTACACTGAAAAACAGTTAGCTTAGGATTTACTTTTCACTCCATTTTTCTCTTTTTACTTAGAATGATCTAGTAAACGTCACAAAGAAACATTAATTAAGGCGCTGCATTACAGTCACAATTTAAAGTAGAAAGACTGAAATAATAATAGCAGTAATTTTCAATAATCTACTTTGAATCAAATGAAATTATATACATAACATTTTAAAACATAAAAAAGCTAAAAACTTCTAAAAACCTACAACAAAATTATTAAACTTTAATTAAAATATAAAAACTAAATAAAAATATTAATGAAAACTATAATGGTTTAAAATAAAATACTGAAGACAAACAGGCAAACATAGACTGTAAAGATCAAACAAATGTAGAAAAGCTAGAAATATAACTATATATTTTTACTTCTGAGGATGTCTTGGAAGCTTGGTTATTATCGATTATTAAAACTAACAATAAAACCATAAACATTTTTTTAACTTTAATTGTTACTTGAAACAAAATCAATGTTAACTGAAATAAAAAGCTTAAAATTATTTTATTTCAGCTAGCTGCCAACTGATATTAGTAAAACTCAAAAAAATAAAATAAAATAGAAATTTAAAAAGAATCTATATACGTACGTAGACTTAAAAAAAATAATAAAAGTGACAAAAACAACAAAATTACTAAAAGTGAAAACCAACAAATTAACAAAAATGTATTTAAAAACACTGATTCAAAGGGAACTGCTGCTCACTAACAATATCATGACATCTTCATGAACAATATCTTATATTACAGAGAAATATCGAGTAATGGCGCATGTGTATCAGTAAAACAGCACTCAGATGTTTAATTAAACCCTTAAATAGTGTGTCAGCAGTTTGCTTTCAGCCCTGCATTATCTCCTGACTGCATGAACACGTGCTTTCATTCCTGCAAAAAAATGCATTCCTGGAGGTCAAACACTAGAGCGCTAGCAATGTCAAGGTCACGGGTTCGATTCCCAGCAAATGCATGAACTAGACTAGTATACCTTTAATGCAATGTAAGTCGCTTTGGATGAAAGTGTTTGTCAAATGAATTAATGTAAGTACATCGATTGTACAGATGGTTTCAGACTGAAGTACCAGTAGTGCAATAAGGTACAAGAACTGTGAAAATATAATGAGTTCATTTACACACTTTCATCCAAACTTACAAACTGATAAAAAAAGTGGTTTTAGCAGCTTTTATGAAGTTTGAAATGTTCAGTTCAACGAATGCAAGGCAGTAGAAATGGCTAGACAAGTCATTTGAGCTGCTGGTTTAACGCCACAGGACTAAAAATACAAGTGATCCATTTTCCGGTGATCGGCTGGAGTTTGTGAAGGAGCAGGAAACTTCCAGACGCAAATCCAGATCACATGCAGCTTCAGGAACGCCATCTAGTGCTGAAGACACTCCAAAAACAGTGCTCAGAGGAGCATATGACGGCAAATTCTGCAGCATGTCCTATACAGATCAACACTGTACAATATGCCATGTTCTAAGCACTAGAAACGTGTTAATGTTTTTATTAATGTTTTGACTTAGCTTTTCTTTTTATACTTTCAGTTTTCATTTCAAGTTGATTTTTGCTTTTGTCATTTTATTGTTTTTAAAGATATTACTATTTAAGTTTAATTTATTTTGATTTCAGTTTTAGTTTTATTGATCGATTAATAATCTATTATAGTTTTGAATAAGCTTTTATTTTTTACATTTCCTGTTTTCATTAGTCGTTTTATTTGTTGCTTTTTATTGTTTTTGTTCTTTTATAAATATTAAGATTAATTTAGCGTTATTTCAATTTTATTTATTTATACACTATTACAGATTTCATTAATGTTTTGAATGTACTTTTATTTGTTTATTATTGGTTTTCATTTCAAGTTTTCTTGAGTTATTTTGTTACGAGCTTTTATCAGTTGTATTCTTTTTAATATTACTATTTCTGTATACTATTAAAGTTTCCATTAATGTTTTGAATTAGCTTTTATTTTTATATTTTTAGTTTTAAGATGATTTCTTAGTAATTTTGTTATGAGCTTTTGCCATTTTATTTTATTCGATTTTTTTCAATATTACTAATTAGGATTCATTTATTTTTATTTCAGTTTTTATTTCCAGTTAGTAATTTTAGTGCTTCAGGTTAGTTAGATGGCAACATTTCAAATTTCAAGTTTTTCATCTAACATTTATATATTATTTTATCTGTATTTCAACAAAGATTTTTTAACAGTTGTAGTTTATGATAATAACCCTGACCAGAAACAAAGGGAAACTCAAAATCAAGAACAGCACATGAAGATGATCCATTTGTACAGTAGATACTTTTATTATGCGTTTAATTATGACTGGTCACTAAATCTACTGACTTTATACAGTTGGGAAGTAGTACACGAGTAACTCAACAGGTGTCTGTAAAATCATATAACACTGAAAAAGGAAGACTGATCACGAGGTTAAAGTTCTCTGTCATCCGGCTCCTTTATTAGCTCTTTCCAGAACTCACAGGAAGATTGAGAAAGAAAAAGAAATCACTGATAAAGGCCAGTTCAGTCTCCATTTGAAGGAGGGAATGAGAGAATAAATAGTACAATAAATCATAATCAATATTTGCAAAATGCAAACTCGTAAAACAACAATCGAAAAAATCATTTCACTACAATTCATCTCGGTTCTGCATTTAAGGTCAACATGAAGCTCATTTTATTCTCAAAATGCAACGTACTTCAGACTGCACTCACTTTTTGAGAAATAGAAAAATGCAAGATAGAAAATGCATCAGGAATTAATTGGACGATGCTTGAGAGGTAAAATGTATTTTTGATGTTGTTTCAGAGATGAAAAACAATGAAGACAATTTTTTTTAATAATGTGCATTGATGAATCATATAAGACCAGAAGCATTAAGAAAGTACATTGAATCAATTCTGATTTCATGTTGACTTTAAAGAACGCAGAAGCTTGTCATCGCAAATGATCCAAAATGTGCTTCCAACGTACTTTGCGAACAGAAAAGAGTTTCTCAGAGCCAAAAATGAATAAATAACAAAATAAATACACAACAAATAATAAATAAATAGCATCACATGAATAAGTCACTGAATAAAATATGCTGAAAAAGACGTGTGCGTGTATATTTTTGCAGCCTGGTTTCAGGAAAGTGCACCTAAACTAGAGACGCGAGTTTAAAAACAACAGAGATCAGAACTGTACATGGTGTCTATATAACACAGAGCTCTATTTATATGCACTAAACACAGCCAAAATAGAAGTGGAATACTGTATATAATAAGAAATATCACATCTCCAAAATGGACTGGCATCATAGGTGCATCAGATATGGATTTTCCAAAGAGATCGGAGAGTAACAGACTGACACCCAGAAACGCAGCCTCTCCTCTGCATCATGCCAAGCTCTTCCACAAACAAAGCCTTTATATAATCCGCTATAGAACGTGGAATATACAGTGCATAGTTTACAGCCAAAACTTGCAGCGTACATATTCAAACTGAAACATTCTGACATACAATCATTATAATACAACTTCTTGAAAAAACATGTTTAAAAAAAAAAAAAAAAAAAAATTTTAAGTTTTTTTTTTTAATACTAAACGGGTGAATCTCACAAAAACTGTTAGTCCAAAAAAAAAAAAAAAAAAAGTTATTTTTGCATAAAAAATATTTGTTTTTTATTATTATTATATACGTTTAAACCACCCGATCATCAATAAATTAATTAATTAATTCAAAAAAGAAAAATTCTATTTGCATAATAAAAGTAAATAAAGCATGTATTTTAAAAAATCTTTTTAAACATAATTAACACAATCAAGATTATCAAAAACAATTGAACACATTTAAACCACAAAACTGTCAGTAGCCTAAATAACACATTGTATATATATATATATATATATATATATATATATATATATATATCTTATATTTCTTTATGATGTGGACATTTCTTTATGAGATTCACCCAAATCATACGCTACTGTAAAACCGAATCATTTGTTCTTGCTTTCGTTCATCAAGTTGAGTCTGAATCTTCACTGTAGGAATAAAGTCTTGATTTGGAGATTGTTTTAGTCTCCGTCACATTAGTCTCTCATTGTTAACCCAGTTTTTTGGTTATTTTTGCAGCGTGGAAGAATTTCAGGAAAAAGTGCTCATCTCATCTTTGTTCTTCAGGCCTTTTAGTCTTTAAATAGAGACACTGGATCTATTTGTAACACTGAATGCTGAACAGCATCAAATGTGTGCTGTGCCATCACTTTGTTTAGTTATTATTTCATTACGAAGAAGAAACGAAACAAAACAAATTTTTTTGAGGTATTTTGGTAGTAACTATGGTCACTTTGGCAAATTTAGAAAACAATGTTTTAGATGGTAGCTAGTTTCTTGATGGTCCAAGGTGGTCTAATAGCTCTAACTAGCCTGACCAAGATGATTTAGCAACCAATTTACATATACAATCTTATATAAAGAACCAATTTGCACTGTGAAAACTATAAATATGTCTAAAATATTATTTGGAAAATATTTAGTTTCTATTAAGGTACATTTTTATGTGTTTTTATTCTACTCATTACTGTACTACTGTTACATTTAATACTGACTTATTCACTTATTTTAATTTTTAAAAAATTATATATTTTAATCTGAATTACATTTTTCACACTGTTTTTGAGTTAAAATTATTATTTATTTATTTATTCTTTTATTTACAAATTTTAATCACGTTTATTTATTTTAATCACATTTTTATTATTTATATACATTTTGTACACTAGAATTATTTATTTAACCATTTACATACTCAACTTTTCAATTTCAATTTTTTCATTTTCTTTTTTTTATGTAAATTGTATTTTATATTATCTTTATTTTTACATTTTGTATACTGTTTTTGAGTAAAAATTATTATTTATTTATTAACTTGTTTATTTATCTATTTAAATCTAATTTTATATTTATTTATATATTTATTATATATATATATATATTTATTATTTCTATTTATTTTTACATTTTATTTTAATTCTATATTTATTTTTACATTCTTGTTTTTAATTATTTACACGTCTATTTATTTGTATTTATTTATTTTAATCTGATTTAAAAAATATATTTGTATTATTTATCTAAACTATTTTTTCCCCATTATTCTTCCTGAGATGTTTCACAGGCCCTAGTATGAAAACCGCTGATCTGGACCAGCTTATGACCTCATTAGACCAGCTAGAAACCATACAGAACCAGTGACCATCAACAGCAGGTTTTTAGCCTTAACACGTTCCAACAAAACACTGTTGTGGTCAAAGCGGTGGAAGTGCTGCCGTGCTGCAGAGATGATTAGTTTCTGTAAGAGAACATGTTTGGCAAAGGTTGAGCTTTGGTTAGTGAGTGTTAAGACAGAGCATCATCATCATCATCATCATGTAAACAGACTGTAAATACACACATGGGCTCCGTCTTCAAAGAGAAACATCAGTTCTTAAAGTATGTTAGACACACATTCACACTCCAGTAGCGTTCAGTGTTTGCAGAGAGCGGCTGTTAGCTGGATCTAGACGCTAAAGCTAAACTCTGATCTGTGCCGTACTGTAGTGAGCAGGGTTTTAAGGCTATTCATAGATACTTGATTATCATTTTTAACTGTAGTGTGTTATTTGACATTACATTTAAAGTTAATATATTTTACATGTACTAAATTGCAAGTTTATCATTACAATTGTGTCATTTATAAATATATCGAAATACAAGTTTCAATATAAGTATATTTCAGTTCACCAAAAATTAATGTCTAAAATATTTTTTGCAAAATATTTAGTTTCTGTTAAGTTACATAACATAGTTTTTCTACTCATTAGTGTAATGTAGTGTTATATTTATTGTTTATTTACTTATTTTAATCAAATTTGTATTTATTTTAATCTGATTTGTATTCCTTTTTTAATCTTATATAACAATATCTTATATATTTTTTCTAATATAATATAGAAATATATTTATATATTAAATAATATATTTATTATAATAAATACTTTGATTTTATCCTTTTATAATTAAAGTTAATTTTTACAATATTGATCTCAATCTTAAATTTTGGCAGTACACTTTAACCATATTTATTTTCATTGGATTTTAATTTTTTTAGAATCTTATTTTCATAATATAATACATATTTATTTTTATAATATTAGAGTTAATTGTTTTAATCACTTTTATAATTAAAGTAAATTTTTACAATTAAGTAAAACCTTAAGTATATTCTTTTAAAGTATATTATTTTCATAATAATAATGTTTTGAAGTATGCTGAAGTGTTCTTCTTTTTCACTAAACAGCCAGAATGCATTTCTACAAGCTCAGGGGGGGGGGAGAAAAAAAAGCTAATTATGAATATTTAAAAAAATAAAATATAAGTAGTTCAATCTAACAATAAGACAGAGTTAGACTGAGCAACATATTAACATCAAACTCTGTAAGTCAACTGTGAATGAATTCTTCTGTATGTTTCAGTACGTCTCAGTGTTATTCAGTAAACACTAAACAGTGAAGTATATTTTCAGTCAACATTAACTCTGAAAGCCGTATTGGATGGATGTTTTCACTGAGCTCATCGCAGTGCATTCTGGCTCTCAGTATCTATCTCTGTGTCAGTGAACTGTGTGGGATCGTTAGTGTTAATCTGTGAAGAGAACTCGTTTAGTGGTGAGAATGACAAAAGCCGAGAGAAAGGCAGTGAGACAGAAGCTAAAGAGACACAGATGTAGTTGTACTCTTGAGATGCTGAGAGCTGCTTGAGGAGGAAACCAGGGGCTTCTGATGCATGGCAACAGTTACCATGGTAGCATCATTCCGGTGTGAGGTCGTCGAGGAAACCTTCATACAGGACAGAGTAAGTTCAAATCCTGACCAATCAGAGCAGAGGGAAATCATTTGAAGATGAGTACAGAAAAATACTTTTATAATGCTTACGAACGTTCATTCCAGTACACAGTCCATACTGAAAACCTGAAAATTGTGATTAAAGCAAAGTGAGGACAAAAAAATAAAAATGTTTCACTAACAATTCTTATGCTGATAATATAATTTGTCATGAAAAGTTTGGGTTTTGCGTAAGGAAAATCAAAATCAGACTTTTGTGCTATAAGTGCGTGCCAATTGTGTTTTGCTCTAATGCTAAAATAAGCTGCTATTGGTGAAAATCCTGCAGTACACAGACTGACCTGTAGGTGTCAGTGTTTCTATCATTTGCCTGGTCAATGTCAGTGCTGTTATTGTTAACTAAAATAAAAACCATTTAACTAGCTTTAACATTTTTCAGTAATTGAAATAAAGTTGATGTAAATGAAAAAAATGGTGAAAAACATCAAACTAAAAATTAGAATATGTTACACTAAAATAAACTAATGTGGCTAAAATGAAGTACTAAAATGACTAAAACTGAAATAAATAGCTATTTTTGCTATTTTAGCATCATTAATACTATTTGAGGTTTTAGATTTTGTGTTTTTGTCATTTTTTAATGTCTATAGTTTTTATTAATTTTAGTTTATTTAGTTTTAGTCATTTTAGTTTTTTAATATTTTCTTTTATTGTAGTTAACATTCAATTGATTTCAAATAAAAAAATATATGTGGTTTTAGTTTGTGATATAATTAAGAATATTATGCATTTTATTATAATGAAAGCATTTTTATAGGTATAACCAGTATAATCTATTTCAACCCGAACAGGGGTTAAGAAATATGGAAATGTTCTCTTTAGTGTGTGTGTGTGTGTGTGTGTAATCCAATACAAATAAATGTTGCATCAGATCAGTGTTGCATTAGTATTTCTTTATATTTTGACTGTACATTTATTTTTATATTCATTTTCACCAATCACCAAAGCATTGACTAATTACTGGAAGAAAATCACAGCGACTGGCCTTCACTAGCGACTGTCCTGCTGTGATGTCCAAAAAAACAGACAGGGAAAATATAAATCCATTTCATGCTAGGAACTTTTGATCTACTGTAGTAAAATGTAATATTTGCTTGAAATATGCTTGAAAAAAGAAACATTTGCCTCTAGATAGTGCAGTTATGACACCTGAAAACAGCCTGTAAATGAAGAAATGGCCATGCATTCCCAAACAAAAACAGAAGGAGAAACACCTACAGACTCCTGAGGCGGTGTGAGATGTCTTTACCTGGTGATCCTGCGAGCTTCCATAAAGCTGGGAGAGTCTCTCCGTCTCTTGCGGATGGGAGAATAGCTGCGCGAGCGGCGGCGGGCTCGTTCTGCATCCGAATGATGAGGACTGTCTCTCTCCCTGCAGACAGACAGACAGACACAAAGCATGCTGGGATTGAGAGGATCGGAGGATGGCACGTGATTGTCCTTCAGATGACTGGATTCATTTGACAGAGACTGCAGGAAGATCGCTTGAGGTGCATCTGACTTCCACTTATTTTAGGGATTGTTTTGTTCTTGTTTTAAGCATAAAAAGAGTGTCACTTGGCTCTTTGCCACATTTTTTTTCTTATTTCTGACAAAAATGTTTAATTTTCAACATTTTTGTTTTCTAAATTAAGTGAGTTAATGTGTAAAACAAGAAAAAACATCTGCCACTGAGATCAGAAAAAAAATTATTTCAAAGGGAAACCAAATTCATTTTTCTGATCTCTTTGGCAGATATTTTTTCTTATTTTAAAAAAATGTAAACATTTTTCTTTTCTAAAAAATCCATCAAAATTAAGCAATTTTATGTGTAAAATGAGAAAAATAAATACGCCATTGGAGTCAGAAAAAAACTTAATTCAAAGGGAAAACAAGATTACTTTTCTGATCCTAGTTTTAAGCATTTTTTCTCGTGTTTGATCTTTTTTTTTTCTTAACGTCTCATGTCAATTCGCTTCTATAGTAAATGCATCTTGATTTGAGAATGTTTAGATATTTGTACTGGAAAACAAGACAAAAATACTAATTTGCACTTCCATGAATATGAAAGTTTCTTTAATAAAAAATATATTTTACTAAATCTTTGTGTGTGTACCTGGAGTTGTTCTGTCGGACATGACAGTGCGGTGATTTGTTCTTGCTGGATCCGCGTTCTCTAGAATGAGCTCGTGACGATGACCTCCCGCTGCTCCAGGAGCTGCTCCTCTGCCGGGCCGTCCCGTGACTCTTGCTCTTCTTCTTCTTGGACGTGTGTTTGTGCCGACCCGGTGACACAGAGGAACTCCGGTGGCGCTTCTGAGCGCGTCCGCGATGGTGCCGCTTAGACGAATGAGATGCTTTCGTTCTGTGTGAGAATACAGTGATAGGCTTTTCACCATCAAGAGACTTAAAAGAGATCTCAGTTTGGTTTATTTAGGGATCTACTGTAGATGTTTCTCTAAACGTACTCAAATTGACAGTACAGTACATTAAGAGTACAGAGTTATAAAATGAATGTGAGGTATGAAAAATGTTTGAGTTTGTATTGAGATCTCTGACTTTTGATAGCACATTTTTTGTTTGTTAAATATTTTGGCAAATCTTTGCACAGCTACATTCAAGCTGAAGCTGAATGTGACCCTGGATGTGGAAAATCACATTTAATCAGACATTTACATTATGATCTGGGACACTTTCTGATATGGAAATATATTGGACATGTATCTAATTTCGCTGACTTCAGTGTGAACAGAATTTTAGCTAACTTAACATTTGTCAATGCTTGCTTAATTTACCCTTGGTATACATAACAAAATGATTATTAATTGCATTTTATGCAGTATTACACAGAAAGGTGCAAAAACAAGTTTTAAATACATTTTGTGTAATACACACTACTGGTCAGGTTTGGAATAATTTAAATTTTTTTAATGTTTTGCAATGTTTCTTTTCAGCTCACCAAGGCTAAATCATCATTATCATTATATGATCAAAAATACAGTAAAAACAGTAATATTGTAAAGTATTATTACAAGTTAAAATTGTGAAATCTTATTAGTAGTTAAAAAAATTATATTATAATATATTTTCAAATGTAATTTATTGCTGTGATCAAAGCTGAATTTTCAGCATCTTCAGCGTCACATGATCCTTCAGAAATCATTCTAATATGCTGCTCTGCTATTATCAGTTATTATTGGTGATCAATTATTAACAATGGTTCTTATTGTTCTCAATTTTGAAAACATTAAGTATTAAGTTTTTGCGTAATATTTTTGTGGAAACTGTGACACATTTGTATAGGATTCTTTGATGAACAGAAAGTTTAAAAGAACAGCATTTATTTAAAAAAGTAGAAATATAAACATCTTTACTGTCACTTCTGATCAATTTAATCCATCCTTTTCAATAAAAGTATGATATTCTTTAAAAAATATTCACCCCAAACTTTTGAATGATGGTCTATATCAGTTTCTCAATCTCAAATCAGCATATTAGAATGATTTCTGAAGGATCGTGTCACACTGAAGACTGGAGTAATGATGCTGAAAATTCAGCTGCGCATCACAGAAATACATTACATTTTAAAATATATCCACATAAAAAACTGTTAATTTAAATAGTTATACTATTTCACAATTTTGACTGTATTTTAGGTCAAAACCCTTAGGATTAGCTTTGGTGAGCAGAAGAGAAGTCTTTAAAAAAACAAACAAAAAAACGTATTCATATATAACTTCTGACCAGTAATGCATATATCTGCATAAATGTTAATGTTCTTACTTCTTCTGATTCTTGGGTTTGGTGTGTGGCTCAGTGTCGCTGCTGTGCGCCGGTGAGTGCGACGCCTTCTCTCGAACCCTCGGCCTCCCGACGCATCTCCCCGATGACTCTGAGAGCGGTTTGCCCATCGCCGGCCTGTCGTCTGCGCAGCCGTCCTGTCCCGTCTGCGCTGCTGGTCCTCCAGGGCTCTTGGGACGGTCGGCGTGGTGTTTAGCAACTCTTAGATGAGGCGACGCGTGCGTCTGCGTGCTCGAGGGAGACGGAGCCAGAGATCGAAGCTTCTGTAGATGAATTATAACCAACAAACCAAAGGGAAAAAAGAAATAAATGTGAAAAAAACAAACAGAAAGAGAACAGTGAAATTAGAGTCTTTTTCCTCCTGGGTGGAAGAGCGTTATCGTGTACTTGGCAAAAAAATATCTAAAAGAAAGTGCTAGGATTGTTCTCTGGCTTATAGACAGTCCTCTATTGTGCAGCGCATGCAATACTCGGCATGCAAAACCATAATGATTTGAAAAGAATAGTCCTGAAGGAAAATCGAAACAAAAAAGGGAGAGAGGGAAAATATGCGAAACTCTGAAAAAAAAAGTTTAGAGAGAATATAAAGAGTAAAAGAGACTGGAGAATATACAGTAGAAGAGAAAGAGGACTTTTTCCATTTCAGAAAGAGCTACAAACAAAAAAAAGGTGAAAAATAAAACTAGAAAATAAAAAAGACAACTTGACGGAACATCACAGAAATGGAAGGAACGAAATAAAGAGTCACAAGAATAGATTCAATCGAATTAGAAAACAATTGGTCCACTACTCAATAGAACTTGCTTGTGGATTTGTTTTGTCCTGCAGACAATTGCTGAGATGTGAACAGCGACCCATTTCCTGTTTTAATAGCTTTTTTAAAAGGTTATTCTGTTTTTCAACTCCCTTTTGGTTAACATCCACTTACCAATAAAGTGGTATTCCCTCCTTTAGTAGGTAAGGTATGAAGAGAAGGGAAAAGTGGGGCAACATAAGTGCATCATTAGATTCACAAAATGCAAGAGAAAAAGACACAACACCCTTCCCTGGATAGTGAGTATGAAACAATGCATGAAAATCAAACCAAAGAGAGAAAAAGACACAGAAGAAATCAAATTCAAATGGATCTCACAGTGTGTGGGCTGGAACGCGAACAGTTTGAGTGCATTTTAACAGCGGTTCACTCTTCGGTGCGGTTTTAAGGCTTCAAGAGTGACTGTAATGTGCTACGAGTGGATGCTCTTGTTTCAACAGTTTCTCAGTAAAAACCTTTAACTGAATGTGCATTATGGGTTATCCATCAGTTGAATTAAAGACCCCATGAAATGGCTCAACAAGCGGTTGTTTTCTGTTCACGCATTTCTTGTTGAAACGGAAAGTTGCAGTAGCACATACAATACCGGTGATACTTTAATAGCCAAAACCTATCAAGGACGTGTTTGTGTCATAATGTACCCCATAACCAAAGGAAAAGGAAAATAAATCATATTTTGCATAAAGTCAATGAAGCCTATTTAAGTCAATATCTTATTTTCTTTAATGCAAAAATGAAAAATCATATTTTACATAAAATATTTTAATTGAGAAAATAAGCATACTGTACCTCAAATTTCCTTTACTGTAATGCAAAATGGATAGATAGATAAATAAATAAATAAAAATAAAATATTACATATGCAGCATGGTAGTAATCGATTATTTTAATTTAAGTAATATATTTTAGTAATATATTTATAATAATATTTATTATCATTATTTTACAATTTTATATTTACATACAAAATAATGTTACACATATACACCCCCACCCCAATAATCCCCTATGGTACACAGGAGTCAGGATAGTGAGACCCTGTCCGGAAAAGGGATACCGGGGTCTTCTCCTGGACCCAGGCCTGGGAGAGGAGCTCGCAGGTGGGCGCCTGGTGGCCGGGCTCATGGAGCCATCTCCTTGTGGGCTCACCACCGTAGGGGACCGTTGCGATGTACTATGGGCGGCAAGCAGAGGGGGCCCTGCAGACTCTTGGTACATGGAATGTGACCTCTTTGGTGGGAAAGGTGCCAGAATTAGTGCAGAAGGTTGAGCGTTACCAGCTAGATATATTTGCCCAACTTCTACGCATAGCTCTGGCTCTGGAACCAAACTCCTAGATAGGACTCTCTCCTTCTCCGGAGTCGCTCAGTGTGAGAGGTGCCAAGCAGGGCTGGGAAAACTCACAAGTCCTAAACTCGGCACCATGAGAGGCCACTTCGTGATATGGGGGGGGGGGGTTCTGACTGTGTTCTGTGTTTATGCACCAGTATACAGTTCAGAGTATCCAGCCTTCTTGGAGGTATTGGGTGGAGCCTGGGGACGCCATAGTCCTGCTGGGCAACTTCAATGCTCGTGTTGGGGATGATGAAGATACCTGGAGGGGGAGATTGGGAGGAACAGCCTGCCTGATTTGAACCCGTGGGGTGTTTTGTTATTGGACTTCTGTGCTCAGCATGGAACAAACACCATATTCAAACATAAGGTGGTTCAAAAGTGTGCTTGGTAATAGACCGCCTTGAGCCAAAGGTTTTGATCGGCTACATTAGTTGTATCATCAAACCTGTGGCCTAATGTTCTGGACACTTTGGTAAAGAGAGTGGCAGGGCTGTCAACTGATCACCATCTTGTGGGGAGTTGGATAAGATAGCAGAGGAGGCTGCCGGACAGACCTGGTAAAACCCAAACAAATAGTGAAGGTTAACTGGGAACATCTGACAGAGGATCCTGAAGATTTTCCTTGCTCCCAGGGAGCCTCAGAGTGGGCCCTGTTCAAAGCCTCCATTGCGGAAATGGCTGCTGCGAGCTGTGGCTGGAACGTTGTTGATGCCTGTTGTGGCAGGAAACCCAAGAACACGCTGGTGGACATCAGCGGTGAAGGAGGTCGTCAGGCAGAAGAAGGAGGTCTTTTGGGTCTGGTTGACTTGTGGGTCTCCCGATTCTGCCGACAGGTACTGGCAGGCTAGAAGGACTGCAGCCACAGTGGTCAGGGAAGCAAAGACTCAGGGTGTGGGAGGAGAAGTGGCAAGGTGCCAGGGGTGGACGAGTTTCGCCCTGAGATGCTGAAGGCCCTGGATGAAGTTGGGCTTTTGTGGTTGACACACTTGTCCAACATCGCGTGGGAATCTGGGACAGTGCCTGGTGATTGATAGACAGGTGTGGTGGTTCCCATTTTTTAAGTGTGTGTTACAATTATAGAGGAATCACACTTCCCAGCCTTCCTGGGAAAGCCTATGCCAGAGTACCGGAAAGGAGAATCCGACCAATTGTCGAACCTCAATTGGAGGAGGAACAATGCGGATTCCGCCCCAGATGTGGAACATTGGATCAGCTTTTTACCCTGGCAGGAGTCCTGGAGGGGGCATGGGAGTTTGTTTATCCAGTCTACATGTGTTTTGTATATTTGAAGAAGGCTTATGACCGTGTTCCCCGGGATTGCTTATACTGTAGGGGGGTGGTCCGGGAGTATGGGGTGCTGGGTTCATCCAGGTTCATGCATACTACCGGCTTGTTCCCAGTGAGTGCTGGACTCTGCAAGGGCTGTTCCCTGTCAACAATCCTGTTTTTGATATTCATTAACAGGATCTTACGGCGGAGCAGGGGGATGGAGTGTGTCCAGATCGGGGGTCTAAGGCTGATGACACACGGTGCAACTTTTTGGGCAATGTTGTCGTCAACAGGCAATCAGGTGAGATACAGGGCCCACAACCGATCTAAAATATCCAGATTGAAATTTGTTACCCATTCTCAATGGGAAAGTGACCAAGCAGCATGGATCATAAAAAGCTGTCCACATATCTAAAATATATAATTTATATATACATTAATACATACATATTTATTTACTTTTCTTTTTGATTTTGAGGTGCAATATGATCTAATCAAAATTTCACATTCAATTTAATATGTTACCTGATGGTTGTGTAATTTACTAGCAATATCCGAGTGAAAATTGTTTCTACAGCAAATTGTTTTCAGTGTATAGATCAGCTCAATTCACACACGTAAACCAAAAACCACAAAACTTTAATTTTAATTTCATGGGGTCCTTAAAAAAAGACTTCACAGCTGAGACTGATCATCTTTAGCAGCACAATTGAAAATTGAGGCTAAAATATTACACTGAGCAAAGCAATGTCTATGTGTTAAACTATTCATCCATCTGTTTCTTTTTTATTACCATCGGAAGGCAAGGATTTCTGATCGACCTCAAACACTATCTTAACCAAAAAAAACAAAATAAAAAATAATATCATATAAAAAAAATTAAAAATTAACACAGCTGAACGTAAACCCCAGATACTTCAGAAACAGCCCTTGTGTATCCAAAAAATAAAAAGGGAAAGTGACCAAATCATATGACACGTACCATTTCACCAAAGACAAAAGGAATGCGGCACAGACAGGAAATGCATTCTACCAAAAAATAATAAGAAAAATCAAATAAAATGCAGACAAGAGATGGACCTGTGGGGAGGGCAGTGTACTGAAGACTGAAGCATGAAAGCAAAGGTAGATTTCAGATTGAAACAAAAAAAAAGAATGAAAATAGAGCAAACATTTCTAAAAAGAAAGCAATGAAAACAACCCGCCAACCTTTGGTTTTCCTCAGATAAACAAAGGGAAAAAGAGAGAGAGAGACACTGATGTCAAGCTAGGGTGCTTGTCACATTCTCCACGTGCGTAGGCAGAGCGTTACCTACCTTCCACTTCAATCAGTGACACGTATGCAATATCAACAAAACAAAGGAAGAAAAAGGAAAAACAAAAAGGAGAAAGGAAAATTCTCCGCAGCGAAATGGGAAAAAGACAATGAATTCTTTTAGTATCCAGGCTAAGATAATTGATCCACAGACTAAAGGAGACAATTCCAACAAAACGAAGCAAAACAAAACAAAAAAAGTGTGGACATACAAAAGGAAAAATCAACAACGACAAAGAACCCAAAAACGAAATGAATCAGAAATTGCTGTCTTTTTCGCTTGGACACATGTGCAGCCACATTCTACCGTAAGCTAAGGAGCGACAAAATCTCAACAAATCCAATTTGCTAGAAGGAACGTAAATATCGATGGCCATGCATGCGTAATGTGGTTTAATGGGAAAAGAGAAAGCATGTCGGGACAACGGACAGCACAGATGAACGGGTGAAGGGAGAGGGGTGTTGGGTGGAGGGTGGTCACTTCTAGGATGGACGACTAACATCTCAAAGGGACCCCAGTCACGTTCGTTAAGCCGTATCGTTATCGATCGGTCTGCGCAATGAGAATTTAGTGCTCGTTTGTTGGCACTTGCTAAAACTAAGAGTAGATTTTTGCTCTCAGCAATTGTCAAAAGTCTTTCACAAAGGATGCAAAGATGCCACATTCGCTTAGGAAGAGAATCCAAATGGCTTGGGTCCCTTTTAGTGTAACAACTTTACTAAATGACCCTAGTTAGTGTAGTTTGCTGTCGGCTAATGTTTACAGAGCATCCGTTTGTCCCTGTCACACATCTAGACGTACATTACACCACTCAAATGTTGACAGGAAGGAAACAAACACCTAGTTATACTATAAGAAAGTATATTTATACATATCAAGTGCTAGTGAAAAGTGAGCATTGGAAACCATGTCGATGAAAACCTTCTGAAATCACCAATGGCACTGAACCGGCTCTTGTCAGTGGAGATATGTCAGCCTTTACCCAAGAGAGAATTCATGAATCTGTAGCCTGTTGTGACCACAGATATAGATGCTACATTAACAATGCATTTTTTTGCATTTTCTATGTTGGTTTTGGATGAAGATTTGGGGGAATGATGCAGAATTACTCTCTTATTGGTATTTACAAGCATTATCAAATTGGCAACCATTCTAATTACCACAATACATAAACATGTCCACCATACTGGAAAGGTCAATATGAATTATACCACCATACAATTCCGCTTATTGCAGATCATATAAAATTAAAAATGTAACAAAATGAGGATTGATAAAACACTCTGTACAGTTATTATAGAGTTCTGACTGCTTAAAGTTTCAAATTAAAGCTATAAGGCCATAAATAAATAAAATGAACAAACACAGGTTTTTAGATATAGTAACAAATATAGCCATAAAAATCATAATGTCCAAACTGGCATTTCTTCATTTGCCCAACAATATCAGTTTTATGGATTAATAATAATTATTATTATTACTATTATTTTTAATTTGTATAATTATTATATCAATTGAAAAATAATTAAATTAAAACAATTGAATAATATTTTATTCTAAAAATAAAATAAAGTGTGTTTATCCTAATCTAAAACACACTCCATAAACTGAAGAATACAATCAACTATTTATAAAGGACTACATACTGTTTCAATCCATTGACCTTTCCAAGATGGCGGAGCTAATGACAAATCCAGATCAGCCAAATGCAGCATCCACATACAGTATTTCCTATCTGTGATTGTAACATTCAGACTCATTCATCCTCTCAGTAGAAACAGGAATGACAGCTGATTGGCTAAAAGCGTCTGAGGGATTGGTCAATGAAAACCATCTCTTGATTAATAGTTCTTCACCTTACATTACAGAAAATGATCAATAATAAGGGACGATCTGATTGCAGGTCACAGATCATCGGCTCTTAGAACACCTGATACACATCTGGAAAAGTGTGCTATGGTAAAACTGAGCAGAAAATGTGAGTTTCAACTGTATTGACAAGAAAAACTAGTAGACATACCCATTTAATCTACTCGGTCCAGTTCCAAATCATATGAGTGCTTTTTACACAAACAAGACAGAAAAGTTTGGGCATTTATTTGTGGGAAGAGATCATGTGAATTCATAGAGGTCAAGAAATCAACAAAACAGAGGGATGAATTCAGCAAATGAAAGGAGAGAGAAAGAGAGCATGAGAACTTCTGAAAGACTGCATGCAAACCGTCCCAGATACAGTAAGTATGACCAGATATCTGATATCTCTCCAAACACAGGTCAAAGATTAGTAATAATAGATAATTGACATCTTGTGGCCATATTAGACACTGTGTGACTGTATGAATACATAAAAAATATGTCATGCATATTTAAATTACACTGTTGTCATTCTTTTCAGCACAAATGCAATTAATGTGGTGTTATTATTACTATATAAAAGATTAATTCCTCACTGTCTTTGAATACACTGCACTGACATTTTGTGGTTTACAATAAAATGTACAAGATAAGAAAAACCTACAAAACAAAAAGTGTTTGTTTATGATTTATATATGAAGTTTAGACTGATATTCAAAATAGCGGAAACACTTACAATAAGGTCTCATTTGTTAACATTATTTAACGCATTTGTTGCATGAACTAACAATGAACAACTTATTTTTAATCATTTATTAATCTTTGTTAATGTTGGTTAATAGAAATACAATTAGTTATTGTTTGTTCACAGTATTAAAACTCCCTAGCAACAGTATTCATCTTTTTAAAATTGTTTCATCCAATAATGATATAGATGAGTTTGTTTCTTAATGGGAACAGATTTGGAGAAATGTAGCATTGCATCACTTGCTCAGCAATGGATGCTCTGCAGTGAATGGGTGCCGTCAGAATGAGAGTCCAAACAGCTGATAAAAACATCACAATAATCCACAAGTAATCCACACCACTCCAGTCCAGCAGTTAACATCTGGAGAAGCCAAAATCTGTGGTTTTGTAAGAAACAAATCCATCGTTATGAACTTCAAACCATTGCTTCCGGCTAATATACAAGTCCTCTATTCATAATATTGCTTTCTCCAGTGAAAAGTCATCTAATCTGAATTCAGGAGAGAAATCTGCACAGATCAAGCACCGCTTACAAGCTAAAACAGTTCAGAACAGTTCTAAACAAATATATGAGTGGATTTTGATGTAAAGAGACAAACAGGAGATGGACTTTTTCACAGCTGGAAGCGTTTTTATGGATGTATTTTAGTTGAATTTAAAACATCCTTAACAGTGGATTTGTTTCTTACAAACATGCAGCTTTTGGCTTCTAAAGATAAGTAACTGATGGACTGGAGTTGTGTGGATTACTATTGTGATGTTTTTATCAGCTGTTTGGACTCTCTTTCTGACGGCACCCATTTACTTTGTTCATTGTTAGTTCATGTTAACTAATTTAGTTAACTAATGTTAACAAATGAAGCAAAAGTGTTACCAAAATATCTTTAATTTAACTGGTTGAGGCATCAAATGTCTCTTTCGTGGGATGTTATCCAACACCAGCGATTGAATTATTAGCAATAGATGCTTTATGTAAAAAATTGTCGCAAGATGCCACAACCGTCAGTTTGTGCCTTCGGGATGGAGCTGGTGCTTCCATGAAATCCCACATGCTCAACAATTGGTTATATTTTAGTTTCCATTGTAAGAAAAATGGCTTGTGTGTGAAATAAAGCATGACATTATTACAGAAAGAAAATAATGGACATCTGTCTCGACAAAATAAAAACCCTTCCCAACAAACACATAAATGGCTTGAGAACAGAAAAACTCACGAAATGGAGCCAAAGAGGGAAAAGAGATATAGAGTCAGCTCACACAGATATGACTGAATCAGTTGGCGTGTGTGTGTGTGTGTGTGTGTGAGAGAGAGAGTGTTTGAGGGATTATTAGTGTAAACGGCAGAGAACAGATGAAGGTAAAGTAGAGGAGACTACATACATCGTTCCCTTTATTCCCCTCCGTGTGATTGGCTTCTGAATCTTTGCCATTGCGTACACGGATGCTGTGGTTCCCATTCTGCCACGTGATTGGCTGGTCAGTGGTGGGGGACGGCGGTGGGCTGTGGCTGGAGTGACTTCCTTCCTGTTTGTGCCTGTCGTTCCTGCACTTTGCACTTGATCTGGTTTGAGAGGTCAGATTGTAAAGGATCGAGTTTAGCGCTGCGCTCACAAATACAATGGCAGCCACACTGCTGAAAATCATTTTCTTATTCAGTGTTTTTGTCTTACTATTTTTCAGTAAAATATCATTCTTAAATAAAGACAAATTTATTTGAGAAGCATAAGATATAAAGTATTATTTTGTGAAAGATTTATTAAAATTAAGTGGTTTCATGCTTTAAATAATAACAAATGTCTACCAATGGAGTAAGAAAAACAAAACTTGTTTTCCCTTTGAATGAAGTAGATTTTTCTGACCCCACTAGCCGATATTTTTCTTGTTTTAAGTATAAAATAAAAATTTATTTTTTTTGCAGTGTATTTGTTGTGCACCACGTATAATAAACGATATAGTCCAAGGATTGGCAACTGTTTTGACATGAAATGCTATTTTTAATCTGGTTGCTTATCATACTGCAGGTTGTTTAAAAGTTTAAAATTTTATCAATTGGGATCAATTTGAAATTGACCAATGCAGATTTTTAAAACTGAATTTACAGATATTGCAGATGCTCTAATAAAAAAAAAAATTACTTAAAAAATTGATATGGACTGCAGGAGGGGAAAAAATGATTCTGGAAATCACATTTTTGAAATTCCCTGATATTTCCATTTTTTTTTAAAGAAATGAATACTTTTATTCAGCAAGCACAAATTGATAGCGAAGCAAATTGATTTATAATGTTACAAAATATTTCTTTTTTTTTTTTTAATGCTGTTGTTCTGAGCTTTCTATTCATCAAAGAATCCTGAAAAATAAAATGAATCATGGTTTAAAAAAACAACAACAACAAAAAAAACGAAGCAGCACTGTTTTCAACACTGATAATAATTTAAGTTTTTTTTTGAGCATTCAAAAAATATTAGAATTGTTTCTGAAGGATCATGTGACACTGAAGACTGGAGTTAAGTAAAAGTGTTACCAAAATATCTTTAATTTAACTGGTTGAGGCATCAAATGTCTCTTTCGTGGGATGTTATCCAACACCAGCGATTTAATTATTAGCAATAGATGCTTTATGTAAAAAATTGTCGCAAGATGCCACAACCGTCAGTTTGTGCCTTCGGGATGGAGCTGGTGCTTCCATGAAATCCCACATGCTCAACAATTGGTTATATTTTAGTTTCCATTGTAAGAAAAATGGCTTGTGTGTGAAATAAAGCATGACATTATTACAGAAAGAAAATAATGGACATCTGTCTCGACAAAATAAAAACCCTTCCCAACAAACACATAAATGGCTTGAGAACAGAAAAACTCACGAAATGGAGCCAAAGAGGGAAAAGAGATATAGAGTCAGCTCACACAGATATGACTGAATCAGTTGGCGTGTGTGTGTGTGTGTGTGTGTGAGAGAGAGAGTGTTTGAGGGATTATTAGTGTAAACGGCAGAGAACAGATGAAGGTAAAGTAGAGGAGACTACATACATCGTTCCCTTTATTCCCCTCCGTGTGATTGGCTTCTGAATCTTTGCCATTGCGTACACGGATGCTGTGGTTCCCATTCTGCCACGTGATTGGCTGGTCAGTGGTGGGGGACGGCGGTGGGCTGTGGCTGGAGTGACTTCCTTCCTGTTTGTGCCTGTCGTTCCTGCACTTTGCACTTGATCTGGTTTGAGAGGTCAGATTGTAAAGGATCGAGTTTAGCGCTGCGCTCACAAATACAATGGCAGCCACACTGCTGAAAATCATTTTCTTATTCAGTATTTTTGTCTTACTATTTTTCAGTAAAATATCATTCTTAAATAAAGACAAATTTATTTGAGAAGCATAAGATATAAAGTATTATTTTGTGAAAGATTTATTAAAATTAAGTGATTTCATGCTTTAAATAATAACAAATGTCTACCAATGGAGTAAGAAAAACAAAACTTGTTTTCCCTTTGAATGAAGTAGATTTTTCTGACCCCACTAGCCGATATTTTTCTTGTTTTAAGTATAAAAAAAAAATAAATAAATTTGCAGTGTATTTGTTGTGCACCACGTATAATAAATACCCTAGCAACCCTAAATTAGTTAACTTGGATATAGTCCAAGGATTGGCAACTGTTTTGACATGAAATGCTATTTTTAATCTTGTTGCTTATCATACTGCAGGTTGTTTAAAAGTTTAAAATTTTATCAATTGGGATCAATTTGAAATTGACCAATGCAGATTTTTAAAACTGAATTTACAGATATTGCAGATGCTCTAATTACTAATTACAAAAAAAAAAATTACTTAAAAAATTGATATGGACTGCAGGAGGGGAAAAAATGATTCTGGAAATCACATTTTTGAAATTCCCTGATATTTCCATTTTTTTTTAAAGAAATGAATACTTTTATTCAGCAAGCACAAATTGATAGCGAAGCAAATTGATTTATAATGTTACAAAATATATCTTTTTTTTTTTAAATGCTGTTGTTCTGAGCTTTCTATTCATCAAAGAAAATGAATCATGGTTTAAAAAAACAACAACAAAAAAAACAAAGCAGCACTGTTTTCAACACTGATAATAATTTAAGTTTTTTTTGAGCATTCAAAAAATATTAGAATTGTTTCTGAAGGATCATGTGACACTGAAGACTGGAGTAAAATTCAGCTTTGATCACTGGAATAAATTATATTTGAAAATATGTTCACATAGAAAACAGTTATTTTAAACTGTAATATTATTTCACAACATTCTTGTATTTTTTATCAAATAAATGCAGCGTAATGTAGCGCAAGTCCTTACACAGTTTAACCATGCCATAGTTAGTGCAGTAAAGTCATAATAAAAGACTATGGATCTCCTTCAAAGAGTGTAAGAAGCTTTTCTGTCTTTCTGTCATTGTGATTCATTCCCTTTCTGTGATGACAGTGGTGACTAATACCACATTACCAATCTTATTGTATTAACCATGGTATTTTGGCAGAAACTATGTTCACCATAGTAAATGTTTGTTAGAGGAGGTTTGTCGGAGGGCCTGTGAAATGGAGATAAGAGGCCGAATATAAGACGCACCTGCTGGGTGATTTGGAGATGCTGGCGGTGGAGGAGACGGATCCGCTGCGGGAACTACAGCAGCTGCCTCTGTGCTGAGAACTCCTGCCCGGAGACTCCACTGAACACCTGCGGGACACACACACACACAAACACACGTCACAACACACACAAAATATGTTCACATAGAAAACAGTTATTTTAAACTGTAATATTATTTCACAATATTCTTGTATTTTTTATCAAATAAATGCAGCGTAATGTAGCGCAAGTCCTTACACAGTTTAACCATGCCATAGTTAGTGCAGTAAAGTCATAATAAAAGACTATGGATCTCCTTCAAAGAGTGTAAGAAGCTTTTCTGTATTTCTGTCATTGTGATTCATTCCCTTTCTGTGATGACAGTGGTGACTAATACCACATTACCAATCTTATTGTAGTAACCATGGTATTTTGGCAGAAACTATGTTCACCATAGTAAATGTTTGTTAGAGGAGGTTTGTCGGAGGGCCTGTGAAATGGAGATAAGAGGCCGAATATAAGACGCACCTGCTGGGTGATTTGGAGATGCTGGCGGTGGAGGAGACGGATCCGCTGCGGGAACTACAGCAGCTGCCTCTGTGCTGAGAACTCCTGCCCGGAGACTCCACTGAACACCTGCGGGACACACACACACACAAACACACGTCACAACACACACACTCCACCCACACCGCTTCATCATACACCTCACAGTCTGTGTCATCAATCCTTTCATAAACAATCCATGCATTCGGCCTACACTGACATGTGAATATGAGTGTTGGGTGTAGTGGGTGGTTGCTAAGATGTTGCTATGAATTTGCTAAAATGTTTCAGCCGGTTTACAGTGAATTACTAGATGGTTACTCTGGTGCTATAGATGGTCACTGTGGTGTTGTAGGTTGTTTGCCAAGTTGTTACTATGCAGTTGCTAAAAGGTTCTGAGTGGTTGTCAAGGCATTGATATGTGGTTACTAGGGTGTTTTAGACCGTTTTTGTGGGTGGTTTCCATGTGGTTGCTAGGGAGTTTTAAATGGTTACTAGGGTGTTGTAATGCATTAGTAGCATTACTAGGTGAATACTAGTGTTGTGGGCGGTTGCTGGGGTGTTGCTAAGCATTTGCTAAAATGAGTGGCTATCAGTGTATTGCTAGATGGTTACTATGGCATTTTAGATGGTCACTAGGGTGTTGTGGGTGATTGCCGGTGTTGCTATGTGGTTGCTCAAAAATTCTGAGTTGACAGCATTGCTAGGTGGTTTCCAGCGTGTTCTAGGTGGTTTCTAGAGTGTTGTGGGTGGTTGCCAGGTTGTTGCTATGCTTTTGATTTGACTGGTTGTCAGTGCAATGTCAGGTGGTTTTTAGGGTGATCTAGATGGTCACAAGATCATTGTGGGTGGTTGCTATGGTGTTTGCTATGCAATTGCTAAAATGTTTCAAATGGTTGTCAGTGCATTGCTAGGTGGTTGCTAGGTTGTTCTAGATGGTTACTAGGGTGTTGTGGGTGGTGGCCTTGGTGTTTCTATGTGGTTGTTAAAATGTTCTATGTAGTTGAATGGCTAAGTGGTTTTTGTGGCATTCTAGATGTTTACTAGGGTGTTGAGGGTGGTTGCCAGGGTGTTGCTATGTAGTTTTAAAGTGGTTGTCAGTGATAGGTAATTGCTAGGGTATTCTCGATGGTTGCTGTGTGCTTGCTTACTATCCCAAGTGAAAAATCACAACTTTGATTGCTTAGAACATTAATATAATTAAATCATTAAACTCTGTAATCAGTGCAATGGATTTTCTTTGTCAGGCTGAGGCATTATGATGCATGAAAGCATAATTCTGAACATTGAGAATTTTTAGAAAAGCAAACAGCAGAATAAACGTCCCTCACCTCTTCTTCTGTTTGTTCTTGTCTTTGTGTTTGTTTTTGGGGCTCCCAGATCTGAAAGGAGAAAACAAACACATATAACTAAATAAGAATTGAATTTAGAGCTTATGTGTGGAGCATTAGACTTAAAATCAAAACAGAATTATGTTACCGCTTCAGTGCACAATTCTGATACTCAGTTTTGTTCAAGACACTAAAATCTCAGAAAAAAAAAGTTTCAAAAGTACCTTTTCAAAAGGTACTATAAAGCACCATTTAGGCACTAACATGTACTTTTAAAGTACTAATATGCACTCTTTTGGGGTAAATAAAGAACTAAGATTTCAAAGATGACAGCTTTTGTACCTTTTATTTTTTTGAGTGTAGACGTCTATAAGCAGAACTGCATATTCTGCCTTGTTTTCTGAATGATGTCTGTGAAATGATCAGTACTTATTACGTTTATGCTATTTTCTTCAGTTTTGTTTGTACAACTATTCAAAGAGACTGCTATTGAACGAGTGTTTTCTAGGCCAGTCTACTACTGCGGTATCATTGTTTTTTTATTTATCCACCCCTAAACAGCACATACAAGCAAAATGAACTGGGGCTGGTCATTTTAAATGTCAATGGATGGTTCTTGATAAAACTGTAAAGTGGATGTTGGCTCTGCAAAACCAATCCAGCACAGTTCCCAAACCATCAAATCTAAAGGATCTTAGGTTAGCTCAGAGTTTACCTGTGTCTCCTCTTCCTCCTTGAGCCAGATGTGGACCTGGCACAGAGGAAATGTTGGGTTAGATATCAGATCAGAATCAGAATCAGAATGAGTTTTTATTGCCAGGTATGTTTACACATACGAGGAATTTGTTTTCATGACAGAAGCTCCACAGTGTAACAGAATGACAGTGACAGAACAAAAACACAGATAATAAAAAATAGAAAAATAGAACAAGTAACTAAGGAATAAAAATATACAAATCGACAATTGTATGTACAGGTATATAACAATAGACAGTTGTATATACAGGTATATTATGTGCAAATTGAAATGTAGACTGAGTATGAGTGTTAGATAAATAAGTGTATGAGTGAATAAATAGTGTGTGTTCCACAGTTATTGTTAAGTGTTCATGAGATGGATGGCCTGAGGGAAAAAACTGTTCCTGTGTCTGGTCGTTCTGGTGCTCAGAGCTCTGTAGCGTCGACCAGATGGCAACAGTTCAAAGAGGGAGTGTGCTGGATGTGAGGGGTCCAGAGTGATTCTGCCAGCCCTTTTGCTCACTCTGGACGAGTACAGTTCTTGGAGAGAAGGGAGGGTTGTACCAATGATTATGACTATCAGAGAACTGCTGCTGTTTATATGAGTAGATTTTGTAGTTTAAGGGCTTCAGCATTCAGTATTTGGACACTGAAGTCAGACTTAAATGTCTGAATGTCATGCATTAGATACTGGAATATAAAAGCCATTTATTGTTAACTCTTTCCCCGCCATTAATGGAAGTTTCCAGCTTTCTGTGTTTTCACTGTTATATGGTAGAAGCTGCTATTACACATCTTCTGAAAGAGTACTGAATCTCTGAATCAAAACACAGGTGAAGAAGAAGCAGAAACTAATTATTGCATATGTAAGTAGATGCATTTGTAAAATGACGCAATCATCAAACATTAAACAGCATATAAATCAAAACTGCCTAACATTACCAAATGAAATGTCGATCCAGAAAGTGGTATAGGACGGTGCTGAACCGGACGCACTATTTAAATGTAGTAAAGCATTTTTTTGTTCAAAATGTTGCTTTTTAATTAAACTTACCCACATTCAAGTGTTGATAAAAAAAGAATGCATGAAGCTAGAATAAAACTGCTGGCAGGGAAAGAGTTAAGAAAAATGCACAATCATGCTTTTCAAACAAAATCCTTGACAAAAATAAGTTACGATAAAACGGTAGATCTTGTGTTGTTGCCCATTAATAAATCAAGGATAACTGACTTCAGACATCCACAACAAATCAAACAAATACCAGCTGATTAAAAGACACTGAGCAAAAACAATGAAGAAAAGTGGCATTAGTGAAAAGAAAAGATGATGTGGCATTTAAATGATATTTTATATCTAATGCAGTGACATTCATTTTTAAATGTGATTTAAATATCCATATATTTTTATGCTGTGTTAAAGACAATGGTTAAAATACATCTGTCTTACCAACTTTTGCCTTAGTTGGAAGATTTTGGGTCTTTTGCAGATTTGTTTGATGATTTAACAACACAGAATAAGACCACATATACCACATTTTCACCTTTAAACGTCTTTGCTCAATTTATACTGAAAGGAGAAATACTTGACTTTCTAAACTCTCTTTCCCACTTTTTCCCCTCACACACAGTCTGACAGCATTGAAGCTGCTGTGATAAGACCATCTTCACAAGGATCCACCATGTTTCTGTAGTGTGTTCGCTATTATATACATCTGACACAAACAGATACACAAGCACCCAAGCATCTGTCAGTCCTGTCATGTTTTCTTGATATAGGAAAAACGGCATGAGAGAAGAAAGCTGTAATAAAGCCGTCAGGGTAACGTGAGACGAATAAAAATGACCTATCAGCATGAGTTCCCTGGCAATTGAATACATGGCCTTGGTATTGCTAGCGCATTGCTAACTTTATATCAAGACCACTATACAGAGAATCATATAGCATGTTCAAAATAGACTGCTGTGTGAAAAACCGCCTTATGAATTTTAATAGAGTAGAGGTCATGACAAGAGGAAACTCAGAAGAAACCTGTATAGTGATAATAATAGAAAGACAGACAGAAACCGAAGCATCTAAAATGCTGACACGTCCGGTTATCAATATTTAGACAAGCCTTATTTTTTTAAGGCTGCAAAGGCACCAAACACTGCAGATATTTCTGACATAATATCATGAATATTTGATGAATGCAGAAAGGTCTTTGTGTAAAGCAGGCTTTTCTTGTTCATGTCTGGTGCTATTTTTGGACACTGAGTTGAGTTTGCTCTAATCCTTGATGCTTCTGGTCAAAACACAAACGCTGATAATAAAATATGAACAAGAACAGTTTAAATCTGCCCGAGCTACTCTTCAAAGAGCCGGTTTCTATTTTGTCAAAGATTAAAATTAGACTCTGAGACTATATGTTCAGAATACAAAAGTGCCACCTAAAGTATACTGTTTAATACCCACTCATCATAAAGAAGTACGTAAAACAATGTGCAACACTGCAACATTTCTCTATGCTGCATGTTCAATTTCATCTAAAATGCAAAGGTTATTTTGCATTTTTAATCCAATTTTGTATATAAACATAAAACCGATCGAAGGCAATCTAAGCAAATAAAAGGTCAAGAAGATATAATAAAGTGATAAAACATATTTAAAATAGAGGTTAATAATATTATGGTCAGTATATTTGTGTTAGATTTAGTGCATTGCATTGTAGGATACAGTATCTCATGTAGTGTGTTTTGTGCATAATGCGCACTTTGACTAATGTAGTAGGTCATATTGGTATTTGTGTGGTATGAATACTGAAAGTTTGCATACTGCAGTATACAGTATAATCTAATGAATATTGGCAGGGAGATCAGTGTTAATTGATCGGTGAATGATGTACACCTGTGTGAATGAATAACCACACACACACACAAACACACACACACACACACACACACACACCTGTCTCTCTTGTGTTTCTTTCCGCTTTTCTTCCTCTTGTCTCTGCTGGTTGGAGACGGGCTGTCAGCTCTGTGGGTCACACAAACACAACAACAATACTGCAGGATGAAATATCACACAAGCAAATACCATCATTTTCTTCCATTTTGTCACTGTATTATATTTAAATGTTCCTCTTGACCCTTTTCACTCTCAAAACTCTTTTTGTTTCTTGATAAAATAGGTCAAGAATTACTAGTACTACTGCTTATACTTAGAATTTGTGTAATCTGAACAAACCTCTAAATATTAAATTTCGATTTTTGGCTAAAAAAACTCAATGTGAGAGATCACACTGGCAATTAAAGGTTCATTTTTAGCTCACTGGATTGTTGGACACAGGGTTTCTGTTGTATATTGCTTGTTTGGCCGTGTCTTAGGTTATTTAAGTATTCTATGCATTGCATAAAGAACATTTGCAAACTATGCACAGTATACATTGGCTGACTTTTCAGTACATGACGCTGCATTGCATTAAATCACAGAAAGCAAACTGACCGACTGTGTCTTCTTGCCTTCTTCTTTTTCCTCTTTTTTGGCCGAGGAGAAGGTGAACTGCTGGATTTCCTCTTGGATCTAGAGTAGAAGACCAGAAATGGAGTAAAACAAATGCAGTGTTGGATATACATACATTTTTCTCATCATCAGCTAGCGTCTTGCTGTTGTTTTTCAGAATGAAAGCACCTGGCTTGCAGTTGTTTTTCCTGTGTCCTGTGTTTCCTGTATGTTTGCATACATTGGCAACCACTGGATTGAGCTTCAGTGATTATAATGTGAGAGGTGTAGTTATTTTGCATTAAACTGCATAAAGGAGATGTTTTCAGTAGTATTTATTAAGTAAAGTTAAGTAAATTTAAATCATTTTCTTAATTGCATTTATTTCATTCATTCATTTATTTTCAGTTTCTCTCAGCGTGTAGGTGTTGAGCTCAGAGCTCCTTTCTCAGCTTTTTACCTGCAGTCATCGTAGGCAGCTGAATCTTGCTCGTAATATTCTCCATCCCAATCATAGTCTTCCTCAAAGCCCTCGACGTACGCAGCATTTCCCACGTGATCTTCATCCCCGTGAGGAAGCAGCCTAACCCTGTGCATACAGGAGGTAAAGGCCAAAGGTCATGACCTGCGCTGGTCTAAAACGCAGTAATGAGCTATTCTGACTCAATGTCTGTGCTCAGATTTGAAAGTCTTCATTTTACTCTATACTCTAATGTTTGTCACCTCTTGGCTCATTTTTATTTTTTATAAGGGATTTACAAAAAAAACAAACATCTGAGACAAAGTTGGTCTATGAAAGAGCAAACTGTGAGCAAAAATATTTTTCTCCGGGTTAAGTCAACATCTATTTATCTTCCCATACCACTAACTTCCATATCAAAAAAAGAAACAATTATTTATTTGAAACAGAATAAAGCTGATTATACGATGTGAGCTGATAATGAGAAACTTCACAGAATTCCTGGCAAGGTATTAACAGATCTATTTTTCTGTCAAATTCACTTTTTATAAAGCCTTAACTTATCCTCATTATCCTTCCTAACATGTGTCTTGATGAAATAAATTAGCATTCCACTACTAAAGGCGATCTTATCTAAAACTGTAAAGATCAGCTTCTTCATCACAGTGATAAATGTCACCATCCTGCTTCTGCAAAAGTGCTTTTTATTAACAGCCTAACAGTTCTATGATTTAAAAGAAGGGTTATATGACAACATAAGGGTTCTGTGATGAAACAGAAGAGTTAAAGGACAACATAAGGGTTCTGTGACAGAACAGAAGGGTTAAATGACAACAAACTGTAAGGGTCCTATGATGGAACAGAAGAGTTAAATGACAACATAATAGCCCTGTGATGAAACAGAAGGGTTAAATGACAATACAAGGGTTCTGTGACAAAACAGAAGGGTTAAATGATAACATACTGTAAGGGTCCTATGATGGAACAAGGGTTAAATGACAACATAAGGGTTCTGTTATGGAACAGAAGGGTTAAATAACAAAATAAAGGTTCTACGATGAAACAGAAGGGTTAAATGACAATACAAGGGTTCTGTGACAGAACGGAAGGGTTAAATGACAACATAAGCTTTTATGATTGAACAGAAGGGTTAAAGCTGCAGTCCGTAAGTTTTGCCTCTTTGTCGCCATCTCTGTTTGAAAACCTGCAATTGCAGCTGTTTGCGGAGTTATCTTCCTTGCGTGGGTTGTACGACGGCACGGCTCCAGCGCGGATGAATCTAATGTTTATGTGTGGCAGTCAGTCACCGCACCGGAGTTGATATTTAATGTACTTCGCAATCACAGATTCTAGCCTACGTCTTGGAATGTATGACCCAAATAAGAATTTTCACCAGATATTGTCATCTGAACAAGTAACAAGTCTGCCACGTTTGTTCTGACCAACCGAGGAAAAAAGTATTACAATAAATCACGCTACCAATGGTGATTTAATCTAAAGATCGGTTAGTTCATATCACATCAAACCATTCAAATTATTATTATTGTTATAATTTATTCTCAAACTATTAATGTTACCAACATCAGCATTGCGTGACTATGAGTATAGTGTGTATTAGCGTGTAGATTTCAATTTCTGCACAGTCTAACCTAATTGTCATACCATTTGAATTTCATATTAAGAAATTCTTTTAACCCAAAAAGCAAAGTATGCTCCCTTCGAACTGGTTTTCTTTAAAATACAAATCTTTGTAATCCCAGGCTATCTGTAATCAGAAGCACATTTAAAACTGGAATATAATTTCATTTCATTCACATGTGTTTCATAAACACATAATCCTTTCTGGATTACAATCCGCCATCAAAATGATACATTTAATTATTCTGGCTGCTGTGAGAAAAGGCTTTAAACGTTCCGCCGCCTGCAGCATCCTCACATGAGATATAGCCTACTAGCCGGGACAACTCCTTTATGTTTACAGACGTGACGTAATGACGCGGCAGCATGCTTGAATTTCCCGCGAAAACCTACCCCTACCACTCAAATTAGAAAACATTATTATAAGATAACTGTTGTGAATCAGGCTATAGTAAGGCGATAGTTTTGAACACTGGCTGGTTATGTACTTTTTCAAATATTGATTTTGGATCATTTTTAACCAAACAAAAGTTACAGACTGCAGCTTTAATGACAACATAATAGTCCAATGATGGAACAGAAGAGTTAAATGACAACATAAAAGCCCTGTGATGGAACAGAAGGGTTAAATGTCAAAACAAGGGTTCTGTGACAAAACAGAAGGGTTAAATGATAACATACTGTAAGGGTCCTATGATGGAACAAGGGTTATATGACAACATAAGGGCCCTGTGATGAAAAGGAAGGGTTAAATTACATTATAAGGGTTCTGTGACAGAACAGAGAGGTTAAATGACAAAATACTGTAAGGGTCCTATGATGGAACAAGGGTTATATGACAACATAAGGGCCCTGTGATGAAAAGGAAGGGTTAAATTACATTATAAGGGTTCTGTGACAGAACAGAGAGGTTAAATGACAAAATACTGTAAGGGTCCTATGATGGAACAAGGGTTATATGACAACATAAGGGCCCTGTGATGAAAAGGAAGGGTTAAATTACATTATAAGGGTTCTGTGACAGAACAGAGAGGTTAAATGACAAAATACTGTAAGGGTCCTATGATGGAACAAGGGTTATATGACAACATAAGGGCAAGGGTTAAATGTCAAAACAAGGGTTCTGTGACAGAACAGAAGGGTTAAATGATAACATACTGTAAGGGTCCTATGATGGAACAGAATGGTTATATGACAACATACGGGCCCTGTGATGAAAAGGAAGGGTTAAATTACATTATAAGGGTTCTGTGACAGAACAGAGAGGTTAAATGACAAAATACTGTAAGGGTCCTATGATGGAACAATGGTTAAATGACAACATGAGGGTTCTGTTATGGAACAGAAGGGTTAAATGACAGCATAAGGGCCATGTGATGAAAAGGAAGGGTTAAATGACAACACAAGGGTTCGGTGACAGAACAGAAGGGTAAAAGACAACATACTGTAAGGGTCCTATGAAGGAACAGAATGGTTAAATCAAAACATTAGGGGCCTGTGATAAAACAGAAGGGTTAAATGACAATACAAGGGTTTTGTGACAGAACGGAAGGGTTAAATGACAACACAAGGGTCCTCTGCTAGAACAAAAAATTTGTAAGATATAGCAGAAATGTTGTGTTGCTGGAGCTATAATGGCTCAGGCTCTGAGTTCTTGAGTGCAGAATGGCCAGAACAGGAGGTTAGGTTTAAGATGAAAAGGTTTTTTTATTAGATTGGTCTCTGGGTGAAGGAGGTGATGTACGGTCGCTGAGGTTTCCTCTGGGCTGTGCTACGGCATTAACGCAGGGTCATTTATGATCTGTAGAGAGTATTAAATCATCTCCTTCTTCTGCGCCTGATAAAGGACCTGCACCCACAAGCTATAAGAAAGTTTGTATGTGTACCTGCTGAAACAAACACATTCAGCCTATATGCGGCAAAACATGACATCTTATTTATGAATCTATTTCAACATGACTTCATGTAAGCCAACGTTATGGCTTGTCTTTATGCTATAGGCAACAAAGCTACATTTCCCATTATCCTCCATGACAGCAATAGATTATAAAATCCACTATATAGCTAAAGCCTTTAACGTTCATCAGTTGCACTTAATTTCGATGCACTAGTGCTTCTGTTCACCGGTAGCTAAAAAATAGAGAATGCACTTCCCAAAAATTCATTTTAGTGAATCAGTTTGTTCAGACAGTTCATGTAAATGAACCAGAAAGAGAAATTATTCATTTCAATATTCCAGCGAGTTACATAAATTAAAGTGTATCTAGTTCTAGTAATTGTATTTAATGTACATTTATCTATTAAACATGCAGTATCTATTCACTGGCACTGAGATGTGTTTTATGGATGGTTTCTATCAGTGCTGGTCAGCGTTATCATTAATTACAGGAATGCAATGTCACACACAAACGCTATCCGATACTGTCTCTACAGGAAACACACACTATATTCAATTACATGTGGAAAATAAGATCAGAGCGGTTTTACTGTCTGACAAACATCATGTGTGATTGACTCACGGTGGACGTGGGTGCAAGCCTTCTCGAGTTATCACGCCTTCCTTTTCCATCAGCATCTGCCGAAATGTTCCAACCTTCTGTCGGATTTCTTCTTCGGAATATCTGCAAACATAAATGAAAGTGGTCAAATGACAACAATCTTCTCAATAAAACACGGTTTAAGGAATCTTTCAGGTCTGGAGTGATTTTCACTCACTGGATGATAAAACAGGTGAAAAAAATCACAGCAAACATTGATGGAGGGAGCCAAGCAATCATAATTAACCCTGCCAGCAACCACCCAGAAAAACTTTTGCACGGGTCACCACTTACAGTTTCTTCAGAGAGTGTAAAAGTCTAGTCTTTCAGAGATGTGCTAAAAATGTGTGAATAAATGCAGCATGGAAACATTCGGGTTTGGATATTAAACGGGCCATTCTCGTTTTCTAGCGCATCTATCAGGAAACATGATTAGTGTGTGTGTGTGTGTGTGTGTGTGTGAGAGAGAGAGAGACTGTCATGCCACACAGTTTGGCTGTAATGTGATTTCAGAGGAGCACAGCTGCCTGCAGGGGGCGCCGGACTGGAGAAACACTCTTTATATTCACTCAATGTCACCACGCAGAAATCTTGCAGATTTGACAGTCAGCACACAGACAACAGTGTGCGCTTGATAACATTTGAACCCGTACTGTGCAAAAAGAGATGGAACTGAAATCCTGTTCCAAACCGGTTGCCTATGTAACGAGCTCATGATCATTGATGATTAAAAAAAAAATTTGAATTCACTTAAAAAAAATTTTATCCCTACATTTTCCTTTAGGAATTTTACTGACTTAAAGGGTTCCTATTATGCTTTTTCAGTTTTTTAATTTTAGTCAGTGTATAATGTGTATGTTTGGGCATAAAAAAGGTCTAGAAAGTTACAAATCTCAAAGTCCACTCCAAAGAGAGATATTTCGTTTTTTTAAAATCTCTTTTCAAGAACTACAATGAACGGCTCGTTTGGACTACAGCATTAGTTTTCCGGGCATTGTGATATCACAAAGCAGCTCATTAGAATATCATTACAAATAATTCGGATGGTTGGGGGGTGGGGAGGGGCAAGGTTGTGGTTAGAACGCATGGTTGAGTGAGTGCATCAGACGAGACGACGAAGAAGAAGAGCTGCACTCATAGAAAATAAAGTATTTGAATTTTAAAGACGTGGCGTGACGCTGCGCTTCTCGTCCAGTGCGCGACCGCCTGAAACGCAGTTTTTTTCACCTCCGTGCGCAAACACCTTTGTTTGGGTTTCCGAAAGTGGATGATGTCAGGAAACAGTGGTTGCAATTTATTTTTTAACTAGCATTATAACCCCAATTTGCTATTGTGTGCTGCACATTTTACTGAGGACAGCTTCCACAACACGAGGGAGTACAGTGCCGGATTCGCCCAAAAGTTTTTGTTGAAAGACGGAGCAAGGAGCGGGGCAGTACTGAAACACCGTCTAAGCTGTTCGCCAATCACAACGCACTGGGACAGCTAACCAATCACAACACATTTTGTTTTTCGGAAGGCGGACCTTCATCAAAGTTGGAACTAATCGAGCCGTTTCTGCCAGGCTGAGGAGAAAGGTATTTTAATAATGTAAATTATGTGAAAAATAATGTGTTTTTCGAACCACCAAGCATGAGAGCATGTTCTAGTACACCCCCAAAACAAAATCAAGACTTTGTAAAAGAGCATAATAGGACCCCTTTAAAAGACATTTCTGGTGTGTTCATGTCCTCCTGGGAAGTTTGTGTTTATGAGTTTGGAAGTCGTCATTATGACGACTACACTACACAATGATGAATAACGAATATACATCTGGTGTATTTTTGCTTTCTTTCTATTCAACTTGTGAAGGTGCTGTAAATTGAATCATCATATATTCTGTTTTATTTGTACAATAATATGGTATTTTATCCATGCAATTTAGTTTTATTTTAAATTTACAAAAAATAACAATAATTTGAACAAATTTACCATTAATACAGATGCTGTATCCATTGCATCTGACATGCTCCCAACTCTCAAATCAACTATAATTTTTAATATCTCATGTGTGACTAATTATTTTATTGGGCTTAAACATTCATACACTATCATTCGAAAGTTTATCATTGTTGAAAACAGTTGTGATGCATTTTATTTTTCAGGATTCTTTGACGAATAGAAAGAAATAGAAATAGAATAGAAATATTTTGTAACATTATGAATGTCTTTGCGGTGCACTCTTGATCAATTTAATGATTAATAAAATAAAATGAATAAAAATGACTTGATGGATAAACCTTTTAATTTCTTTTACAGTTTTTTTCAACTTTTTCAACACAATTTCTGAAAGCTGACACTCAAACAGCAGAAGCACACACACCAAATCTGCAAAACCATACACTAATTCTCAGCCTTTGACTTGTTTCCAATTTCATAAAACCTTTTTGCAAAACACAACACACAATTCTCTATGTAACACACAAAAATCCAACAGGAATTAATATTATGGCAAAGGTGTTTGCAAATGCTTTTGAGATGTGTTTGTGATATTTTGAATGCAGTGCTTCGTTTCGCAAGAGATGTGAGGCATTTTGCATTTTGTGTGTGCAATTCTTGGATTTGTGTGTAAAGTTTTGAAAAAAAGAGGCAAAGTTTTGAAAATGTGTGTAAGCTGTAATAAAGTTATTCTGAAAACAAACTGTATATAGTGTGTAATTGAGATGACAACTGATGCCACTCAGTGAATTAAATATATAGCATACAGCTATTCAGCATTGCACATTGCTTGATATTTCACTTTCTATTTATAAAAAGAAGCGGAAGATAGTACATGTGCTCTCATGCCAACATGACCTGCAGGGGGCTCTAGCCATGTTTGGAAAGAGCAACTGTAACACACACACACACACACACACACACACACACACACACTGGTTCATTAAAAAAGAACTGGCTCAAAAGGTTTGAAACGGACATTGCTATCTGATCTCAGAGAAGATGACTGGGTATGGAGAATAAATGTTGAAATTAGGTGTTATTTTATTGTACTTATTTATTAGTTTATTATTTATTAAGAGAAAGACCTGATGTTTAAGACATTTAAAAGAGTAATGCATCAAGAAACAGCATGTTTTCCTTCAAATTAAGTGGATTAAAAAGTTATGGAATGTAGTGAACGAAAAGTAGGCTTCATAAACATGAATTTGTTCATTATTTAGTTCTCATACAACAGCACACAACCTACGGCTATGAAAAACCAATAACAACTTAGCTATAAGTGTGTCTTGTTGTATTTTTTTTTAATGAACACAATACTAAATCTTTTTAAATTTCTCTTCTCATACTATGGTGATATGATGCAATCAACATTTCATAAATCATTTGATTCATAATTCATTCCTCTACCCAAAAACCTGACAATGCATGTTCAGAAATTCCTTTTTCATCACTCCACCTCTAAAAACAAGTCTAAAAGTACTTTCAAAACCAAGATCAGAAGTGTTTATTTAACGTGGCACGGGTTGATCTGATTGGTTGGTGGTTTACAGTCAGGTTAAATGCTAAAGTCCAATAAAAAAGGTTCACGTGGAGCCCTCACGCATATTAATGAGCCTCAGAGTCATCGGGAAATCCAGTTACACAATGAGCTGCATCTTTCCTTACTGGAGTAACAGCACACCTCTGCTCAACAAGACGCGTGAAGCACAAACGCTTGTAGGTGTGTAGGTGTGTGTGTGTGTGTGTGTGTGTGTGT